ATAGGTACATTATTTTGTATACGCACTGTAGTGCATTTTTAATGGATCATAAAGATATTTCATAGTTGAAGGAGTTTTGCCGTAATGATTTTTAACATTAGATAGTCAAGTGTGTAACATAACCATTTTCTATAATTTAACCCCTGTATGTTAAGGGATGCACAAATGTTCATGTTGATAAATATTTCAAAGATTTAATTATTAGTACTCAGACTGATGAAGAGGCATTGAAGTGTGAAGGGTTGTTAAGTGAAAAGGAATGTGAAGACGCATTACAATGTATGGGTAATAAGAAAGCCCCTGGAAGTGATGGTCTTAGTGCTGAGTTCTACAAGGTTTTTTGGTTAGAAATTAAAGATTTGGTTATTAAATGAGGGGTATCACACAAAAAAAATTATCTTCTTCCCAAAGGCAGGGTCTTATTATGTTGTTATTTAAAAAGGGGGATAGGGTTATTTAGACATTTGGAGATCAATTTCGTTATTAAATAATGATTATAAAATAACAGACTTCAACGTGTTTAATCAAGTATCATTTTAAGGTGACTTGGTAACATTGTTGAAGGTTGATGAAAAAATTGCTTAGTTTTTGTATAAAATGTTACTTAACCCTAATAAGGCCGCGGGGCATTATGCCCCCCCCCCCGCAATTTTTCTGATTGTTCGGGAACGCATACGGATGGCGCCCCGCCGCTCGCTGACTTTTTTTGTCGAGTCTTGGGCATCTTTTGAAATAAATTTTTCGAAAATTGGCCTTACCGTTACAAAGTCACGTGACCTTTTGTCTTTGCATGTCAGCCCGAAAATCGTATGGAAAAACATATGGAAATCTCATTTTTCCAAAAAAGAGATAAAACATTGGTGATTTGGTCTTGTTTATAGTTTGGGTGTTTATTTTTGGGTTCAAAATAGTTGAATTATAGTTAGAATTAAAATAAAACAACAAAAAAAAAATACATAAATTAAAAAAAACGAAGAAATACATAGGAAATTATCAAATCAATAGATAACATAAGGAATAACACCGCTCTTCCAATTTTGTTTAGGTAATATTATTCCAAATGGTCTAAAGAATATATGTAGTGAAAACTAATGTATAAATATGAAGAATATATGATTTATGGGTAAAAAATGTGAATTGTATGACCTTGTTTGCATAAATTACCATAAATATGCAAATGAGTGAATTTTTCAAAAAATGAATTTACCATAGTATTCTATACACTTCACTTGACATGCGTGCATATTTTCGCCGCGATCGGCCGTTTCGCGGCCGAGATCTTGAGGTGGGGCCATATTGCCCCCCCCGGCCGTATTAAGACCCCAAATATCCCGGCCTTATTAGGGTTAATATATTCCTTCTACTGTACTAACCCTCTAACATGCAAAAAATCCTGAACAAATTCTCAAACCACGAAGATATCTATGGTTTTCTTTGAAGGAGTCGATGTATGACACCCTCTAACAGTGATTAACAGTAAATTCTCCCAACCATTTTTGAATTTTCCCAACCGTTTTTCCATGAAAAAAAAGACATAAAACAGGATATAAAAAATCTGTCAACACTTAAATATCTGGAATGGAATGTAGAGCCATTTTAATGCTTTGTGACGATTTCCATTCACCTAAAATGTAATTAAATTGTAATAATATTGTTGGGAGAATTAAGAAATCGATCAGATCAGTTTTTCCCAATTTGTACCATGAATAATGGTCCGTTTTCACTCAAATTTTCAGATTATCTTTAATTGTACACCTAGCATTGAAGTCACCACCTTAGCACCACTATCTCTCATCTGAACAATGTTATCAAGTCCCTTTTACTGATCAAAGAGGTTTTATAAAGAAAAGATCCGCAGCAGAAAACATACGATTAGTACAAGATGTAATCGACTATCTAAAGACATCCAATAGTTCGGGAATTATATTCTTTTTGGATTTAAAAAAAGCATTCGACAATGTATCCCATATTTTCCTATTTCATGTACTACGTTAATTCAATGTAAAATAATTTTTTTATCACCTGGATAAAAACCTGTTATACTGACGCCGTCGGTCGTGTGATGAATAATGGATGGATTTCAAAAAAGTTGCTTATTGAAAGAGGAGTTCGCCAGGGTTGCCCATTATCGGCATTACTTTTTAACATCGTAGTGGAAATATTAGCATGCAAAAAAGACGAAATTAAAAAAATTAAGTGATCGATATTTCCAGTGTTGATTTAGATATTGATAGTTTAAAAATTTCCAAATATGCAGATGACACGACATTATTTGTGGAATCTATTAATGATATACAATACATTATGAATGAAATTCACGTTTTTGGAGACTATGCAGGTCCGAAAATAAATTGGAATAAGACATTATGGAACTCCCAAAGAGATAAAATTAAACATTATGTAATTATAAGTGATATCGAAAATGGTGGATTGAATATGATTGATATTGCTAGTAAAATATCTTCACTTCGTTAAGCATGGATATCTCGTTTTTTTTTTTAATGATAACTACTCTTATTGGAAAAATATGTTAGATACTGGTCCTATAAAATAGGGGGTTTGCCACTTTGTTTACATTTCAATTGTCATATAAAGGATATTAATTTATTATGCTCTAAACATAATTTGCCAGAATTCTATGTAGATCTTTTTTGTGCTTGGTCAGAACTAAAATTCATTGATATGTTTAATAAAGAAATATTCCAAATGAAATTATTTGGAAAAATAGTAACATTACCTTTAAAAAAAATAAAATTGTGTTACCGAGAATGGCAAGATGTCGGTTTATCAAAAATTCATAATTTTATTACAAATGGTATTTGGAATGACTCTACATTACTAAATACAAAAGTGAAAGCACAACAGATTTTATTTGATTTTAAATATACAACATTAAAGAAAGTATTTCCGCAGTATTGGTTGGACAGATTAAGCTATGATTTTGAACAAGAATGTGATATTTCGAATATATTATAGAAATAGAAACCGGGGATAAAGTGAATGTTTTTGTTATGAAAGTGAAAGATTACTATCGTTTGTTAATACGTAAAAAGTCAAGAGAACAAAATACAATTTACATTTGGAATTCCTTTTTTAGCTTTGGATTATGGCTTTTTTTGGAAGGATGTATTTTTATTTTTCAAGATGAGGCATAGGTTTATTGCCTCAAAAGAAAACTTATATAAATGGCAAATTGTTAATAATAATTTATGCAACTCTTGTGGACAAGGTAACTCAACTTTTCATTTTATGTTATATTGCAAGGATGTGACTTTGTTTTGGAAAATAATATGTAATTTGATATTTAATCTATTCCAAAAGAAATACAAATAGACCAAAGATAATAGTTGGAAGCAAGAAATATTCACTTCTGAATGTTATTTTAAATTATGCGCAATATGCAATTTATAAATGTTACGTTAAAAAGATTGTTAATGGTTCTGTTTACTACCCGCATACTTTTTTTCTTCTTCAAGTCGTTGCTAAGATTATTTTTAAGATATGAATGTGTTAGCAAAGAAAATAATACTAAGCTGGAAGAATTGTTGAATATACTTTACATTTTAGCCTATGTTATGTCTCACTCAACCATTGAGTTATTAATGTAAATATATATTGATATTATGGAAATAAAAACCTCGCTTGAGGATAAGAGAAAAAAATAATATCAACCCTATTCAAACAAGAGATTCAAGTTTGGTCAATCTATTTGTTCATTAGTTTAATGCATAATAATGACTGAATTCGACTTATCTACTGTATCTCTTTATTTTTCTTATCGAATGACGAATTCGAATGACGAAAGCGATTGCAGAATGACGAAAGTGATCCATTTAATTATACGTTGGCAGCCTAGCTTGGCAATGTTTGATATTTCTTTTGGGACATTAGTAGAGTTAACATTTTGAAATAGATTGAAAAAAAAGGAAATGCATGAACAAATACGAATTTGAAAACAACGTTTTCAAAAAAAAACAGAACGAAAATGTGAAGGTGAATGAAAAGCAAAGTTGTTTAAAGATATGGTCATGTTATGGTTATGCGATTGCATTGTGAAAGAAACGTTGTGGAATCGATCAGAAAAGGTTGATCCTCTAGCATATGTATTGGTGTGTACTGCAAGGTTCTGGAATCATCAAAACGATAAGAAATTTGGCCCAGTCTTCGTAAAGTTACGAGCACTGTACACAGAAAAATGTATATTGGACTACGCACACGTGCGCGACACGTGCGTTTATCTCTCACAGTCCAATAGATAAACTAATTTACCAAATATATCAATTAGTAGGTGGTTTCCCGGCAAAATTGCTATCACCATGTATTAGTCAAAACATATTCTTCTTCACATGATTGGTAATAAGAGCTTCCATTTCATTTTTTGAAATTGGGGCGTTTCCAATACTGGTCTTTAACTTTTAATGGAGGGAATTCCTTTATTACAAGGGGAAAAACATGCTCGGGAGATTTGTAAAAGGTAAAAAGACAAACATCAATGACTCAAATTAATCTTCGTAGCTTGTTTACTTTAATCTTCGCATTAACGCGCCCTTTATTGACACGAAGGAGATATTGATATTGATATAACTTACTTTTGGGAGGGAACTCTGAACTGTTTATCTTATCATTTGACCACCACCAAGCACTTGTGATAAGCACACATGTAAGATCTGTCCGAATGCGATGCACTTGACAGCAATTATTTATGATATTGGTTAGTCATTTTTACATAATGCTCTGGTTTCGTTGTTAATTCTCATTCCGCTAACTGCAATCATCAGCATAACATCGTCGTTTTTTTCACTCCGGTTGTGAAATATATATACATTTGTCAATGGCAAATGGATATTTCAAAAGAAGGTTTTGAAATAGTAACGGTTAATTAAGGCGTTGAATTTCAGACAAGAATCAGGGTTGGGGGCAGATGTTAGCTGTGGTTATAGTACTTACGCAGGGGCGTATACTAGTTGGTTATTTCATTATTGCACGCGTGTGAAGGAAAGATGGAATTCCTCCATAGGGCCGTAACAGCCGGAGACATTGCAAACGTAGAAATATTATTGAACAAAGGAGCTGATGTAAATGCAAGGAATAGCCACGGTCTGACACCTATCTACATTGCGGCAGAAAGTGGTGATCTCGATGTTGTCAATTGCCTGATCAATAAAGGAGCTGAAGTGAACAAAGGCAACATTGATGGCTACACTGCTTTCCACCGTGCGACACTCAACTGTCAACTTCATTTGATGAAATTTCTGATTAGTCATGGAGCTAATGTGAACATTGGTAGTAAAGATGGTATGACCGCTTTGCACATCGCTGCAAGAAGTGGCAAAATTGATATCGTTCAATATGTCATTGGTCAAGGAGCTGAAGTCAATAAGGAAACCATTGATGGATACACTGCTTTACACCATGCTTCAGAGAGGGGTCAACTTGGTGTACTTGAATATCTGCTCAACAGAGGAGCTGATGTCAATAAGTGCGACGCAGACGGTTGTTCTGCTTTATACATTGCTGCAGAGAAGGGTCATATCGATATCATCAAACGCCTAACCAGACAAGGTGTTGATGTAAATCAATGCAACAACAGAGGTAGAACATGTACTTGCACTGCTGCATGGAATGGCCATCTTGATGTCGTAAGGTATCTTATTGATAGGAGGGCTGATTTCAAAAGCTGCGATAATGAAGGTTGGAGTCCCTTGACGAGTGCCACATGGAATGGGCATGTTGATGTCATTAGCTTTTTAATCAACCAAGGAGCTGATGTGAATGAAGGCGATAAGGATGGATGGACTGCCTTACATATTGCTGCGCAGAATGGCAACGTGGACATCACCCAATTCCTAATCAACAAAGGGGCTAAACTCAATAAGGTCGACAAAGACGGTGTGACCGCCCTGTTCACTGCTTCGCAGCATAGTCATCTCCGTGTTACAGAATGTCTCATAAACAATGGAGCTGATGCGAATATCTGCAGCAAGAACGGTAACACTGCTTTACATCTTGCAGTAATGAACGGTGACATTGATGTAATGAAGCATTTTATCAGTCAAGTAACGGACGTGAATAAGGGCGATAGTAGTGGAATTACGCCGCTGCACATTGCTGCACGAACTGGACATGTTGGTGCAACCAAATGTCTTATAGATGAAGGTGCCAATATCATGACGGCCAATGATGATGGCTCTACTGCCTTATACCTTGCGGCAATGGATGGTCACGTTGATGTCACCGAGTGCCTAGTAAGTCACGGCGCTGACGTGAATGAATGTAGCAAGGATGGATGGACTGCTTTGCACAAAAGTGCAGAGAAAGGTTACCTTGAAATCACCAAGTATCTAATCAGTCAGGGAGCTGATGTTAACATAAGTACAAACGAAGGCTGGACGCCAATAAACATTGCTGCAGAATATGGCCATCTTGATGTCCTCAAATATCTGAAGACCAATGGAGGTGATCTGAACAAAGGCAGTCACAACGATGACACCCCATTTCTCACTGCAGCATTACATGGGCATTTAGAGATAGTTGAATATCTCATTACGCAAGGAGCTGATGTGAATAAGGGTAATAATGTCGGTAGGACTGCATTACGTAACGCTGCGTGGAATGGCCATCTCCATGTCACTAAATGCTTAATCAGTAATGATGCCGACGTGAAAAAGGGACAGAATGACGAAAGGACTGCTTTGCATGCTGCTGCCTGGAATGGCCATTTAGATGTCGCAAAATGTCTAATTACTCACGGAGCTGAGGTAAACAAGGTTACCGACGATGGGAGGACCTCCCTACGCAGTGCTGCATGGCATGGCCACCTGGATGTAGCAAAATATCTGGTCACTGAAGGGGCTGATATAAATAGGAGCGATAGTGATGGTTGGACACCACTAACAATTGCATTACAGAGAAAGCATCCACATGTTGCCGAATATCTAATCAATACAGGAGCAGATGTGAATACGATAAAGAATATTGGAACAAATGCATTACACTTAGCTGCGTTGAATGGCTATCTTGAGATTACCAAGTATTTACTCGGTGTAGGAGTTGATGTGAATAGATGCGCTAGTGACAGTTCTACCGCTTTGTATGTTGCTGCACAAAATGGACATGCCAGTATTGTGGAATATTTGATTTCTCAAGGGGCCGATGTACAAAAGGGCCTAGACAACGGTTTCACTGCCTTACACATTGCAGCCGAGAAGGGTCATCTGGATGTTGCCAAAATACTAACCAATAATGGAGCTGAGGTCAATAAGTGCAACACAGAGAAAAGGACAGCCTTGCACACGGCAGCATTGTATGGGCAACTACTGGTCACAGAGCTCCTAATGAAGAAAGGCGGGACAGTTGACATGGATGATGAAGACGGATGGGCTGCCCTGAATCTCTCTTCACAAAATGGTCATGCCGATGTCGTCAAATATCTAATCACACAGGGAGCTGACGTTAACAAGGGAAACAATGTTGGCAGAACTGCCTTACGAAGTGCTGCTTGGAATGGTCATCTTCAAGTCATCAAATGCCTTATCACTAATGGTGCCGATGTAAATAAGGGAAACAATGACGACAGAACTGCATTACACGCTGCTGCTTGGAATGGTCATTTGGATGTCATCGAATTTCTGGTTAGTCAAGGAGCCGACGTAACTAAAGTTAACAGCGACGGAAGAACCCCCTTAAGAAGTGCTGCATGGAATGGACACCTCGAAATAGTGAAATATTTGGTCGTAAAGGGTGCTGATGTAAACAGAAGCGACGATGCTGGCTGGACACCTTTGATGATTTCTTTACAGAACAACCATATACACGCTACCGAGTATCTAATCAATCAGGAAGCTGATATAAACAAGGTCAACAACAATGGTACTACTGCATTACACTTATCCGCGTGGAAAAATCATCTCGCGCTCACCAAAAACCTTCTCGACCGTGGTGCTAATTTGAAAGAGAGCGATAACGAGGGAAGAAACGCATTACATATTGCTACACAGAATGGTCATCTTGACATAGTGCAATATCTAATCAGTCAAGGAGCTGATGTGAATAAAAGCGATAGTAATAAATGTACACCGTTACATGTTGCTGCAGGGAATGAACATTATGACGTAATACAATGTTTGCTGAGACATGAAGCTGATGTAAATAAGGGTGACGTCGATGGAAATACTGCGTTACACTATGCAGCGCGGAATGGTCATGTTGCGATCATCAAATATCTAGTAAGTCAGGAAGCCGACACAAGCAAGCATAACGACAAGGGTTGGATTGCCTTACACAGTGCAGCAAAAAATGGTCACATAAATGTAATTAAGTTTCTTATCAGTCATGGAAGCGATGTTAATCACGGAGACAAGAATGGAGCCACTCCACTGCACGTCGCCTCGGTGAATGGTCATCCGGATGTTACCAACTTTCTGATTAACCACGGAGCTGATGTAAATATTGGCGATAAAAATGGTTCAAATGCATTGCACGCTGCTGCAGCAAGTGGTCGTCTCAGGGTTACAAAATGCCTCATCAACCAAGGAGCTGCCGTGAATAAGGGTGATAACGACGGATGGACTGCCTTACACCATGCATTCCAAAACGGCCACCTAGAAGTATTTGTATTCCTACTGTCACAAGGGAGCAATATGAATGACTTGAACATCGATGGACACGCAGTTCGGGATCAACACAACTCAAACGTTACTGGTTCTTTGACAACTTGCTCGAGGGTATGTATAAAATCTGCCTAGCTTACTTAAAAATGAATTATTTAGTTCTAAAACATGTTTTATTCATAATTTCGTCAATGTTAGTTCTGAGAGAAACAATTACTACTTTTTTTTAATATTTTACGTTATCGATTAGAAGTGAAACCTTTTTTTTGTAAATTGCATATTTTGGAAATTGAATATTGATCCACCATACGCAGCGTTAGCAAAGAAACTTCTATACAGTATAAGTATAATCAATCAACGTTACTTTGACAGCTGGAATGTCCTTTTTTAATCCTTACTTTACTTACCTCTATTTTCCACAAGTCATCGCTTTTTCTACTTTCTTATGAATAACATGTGTCTACACTACAAGCATATCAAGCTACGATCATGGAAACAATCTTTCCAAGGACATGATTTTAATAATATACCAAATACGTAAACTGTTCATAATAATGAGTGCTGTCTAATTGTGTCTTCGTGTATGTTGGAATCAGCCTCTATTTACAACATATAAAATATTTTTTTTTTTCTATATTTATGTTAAAAAGAATAACGTCAATCAACGTGATCAGAACGGTTTTGCCGCTATTCACCACGCAATACATTATGGCTACACCTCGGTGATTGAGACGTTGATATCCCATGGGTCAGACATCAACATCCAGTCCAACGATGACCAGACGTGCCTGCATTATGCCATCAAACTCTGCTACCGAGAGGATGTACATGTGGAACTTACAGAGTCACTCAAAAAGGTACCACGGTTTAATATCAATCTTGGTTATCATATTTAGGGAGGAGTACTACTACAACTTAAGGCATCATCTAAGGGAGTCAGGGAGCATATAGTATTGCGGGAAATATATAAACTCTGCAATTCCGCACAATGATGAATCTTATTATGCAGAATGCCATAACGTATACTATATACTTAAACGTTTTGTTTCTGTTTTATGGATAAATAACAAGTCGAATGTTTAGTAACGTAAATAACCGTATTGTTTTGGTGTGTTTCTCGATCAATAGCTTCAGAAATTTCCGTTGAAATTATCGATTGATCAATGATTCTAACAGATATCCACAGACGTCTACCAAAACAGGTTATCAGCGGAGAGGGCGCTTGTGTTCTACCTCTTGGAAAATGGCGCTAATCCCGATGTGAAGGACAATAATGGTAACCTTCCGATTGAGTATGCGAGAGACGAAGAGATCCGACAGATGATATTTTCGAGGTTAATTGTTGTTCAATTTATTACAGATTTATAATTATGTGTGACAAAAATAATACAAGAAATTTCTGAACTATATCATCAGGATGGCTTGGATAATCTAGAAAAGTGTTCTATGACGCACTTAAACCTATTAACCTGTGTGACGGGTGTCTTAGGTGATCAGACACCTTCCAGACACCTTCCTCATATGTATACTGGCAGACTTAAGCTAGCTGCCGAACAGATAATTAAAGTTGGATGTGTCATAAAACTCTTTTTATGTCAAGAAATGCATTATGTACAAATCATGATTGTTTTCATATGCCCTCTAAGTCTTGCAGTATCAAGTTTTAGAACACCATTAGCATTTCCATATAGTCTCGCTGAGTTTTCTATCTAAAAAGAAAGAAAAAGATAACGTCAAAAGTAGCATTTTTCTAACGTGCGACCGAGACCTATTTGGAATCTGTCTCCTTATTGCAATTGTTTTTGCCGTTTCACATGTCCTGTATATTAATGCAGTTATTTCACTGGAGGAATGGCGGGCTTGTACTACTTGCGCTGCTATAAGCAGGAGAAAATAATAAAAAAGAAAATATAATAACATTTAAAAGATGATGGGAGGATGTGACAACTAATGACTTAACTGTTGCATTTTTTCTCCATTACAGGTTACCGTCGATGGAGACAACAAGGAGTTATCTCGGTAAGATAAAGTGAATTTAAAATTGAATTTTACAAAGTAACACATGTAATATACAGACATGTCACATGTAGGTATTGCATGCTCCGCAGTTCAATATAACATGATTTAAACATCGACAAACTAAGAATTTACCCGAGTGCTGTTACATTTCATTGGGACCGCAGGGCGAGGTTGAATATCATTGCACGATCCTCAATTTGGAGATTTATATGTGCGACCGATGAACGCGACAATGCATGTTAGACTCTAGATATTACTTTCATACCAGGTCAGTCTAAATGATGTGAATGCTAATCTAAGTCAGCTTACCAGATTTGAAGCATGCCACGTAGAACTTTTGATCCCCTGTCGAAATATCCCATGCAACAAACAATCAGGAAGAAAGAAAAGAAGCTAAAAAAAAAATTGTAAAAAGAAAGAAAGAAAGAAAAAAAAAAAAAAAAAAAAAAAAAAAAAAATCAATTTTGTTTGGAACATGGGCAGAGTGTTTGTAGACTACGGAAACAGCAAGTTCCATCTGTTCAACTATCCGTATGCCATATGTCAATTCCTCAACAGTCAGTGATTTTTTTTCTTACATTCATCTCATGATTTCATTTCTAAGTTAGATCTAGATCTACTCTTGAGAGTAGACTTTCACCTTACAGACATGAAAGTGTAGCTAAGCAATATCCACGAGCGCTTGGTGTTCAACTCGCCGTCACTCCGGCGCATCTTATGGTCAGCATCCGTTCAGTAACCGCTGAGAACTATGCGGGCGTTAGTAATAACATCATTGGTATGTTGAGCATCCTTTTCACGTTTTAGAGTTACTAATTCAAGGGTTGTGAACTATGCGAAACGCTTTTACTGCAGTGGCTGGCTGGTCAGACCGAGCCATGTTTATGACCATCGTACTTGTACGAATGCGCGCTCGACCAGGCATTAACTATTGCTCTATTAGTAGTGTGTATTTATACGATAGAGCGGTATATTTAAAATTAAATATAAACAATTTCTGTTAAATAAGTATAATAATCAGTATTAATAGCATGGGCAAATTTTGACACTTTTTTTTACTCTGATCGTGCATGATAGTAAGTTTTAGTATGTTCTTTTTTCTTCTTTTTTCTGTTCTTTTGTTCTCGTTTTCCTGTATGTGTGTTTTTAGGGGTAGGCTTTTATATAAGGAATCCCTCCTTTCTGCCTATATCTCAAATGCTCATATAAATTGCCATTGTATTTGTTATCACTTTCTTGTTTTTGTTATAACTCCATTCTGTATTTGTATGTTTTAAATGTTTTTATGAAGAGTGTTGAATAAACTTTGAATTTGAATTTGAATTGCGATGATTGATCAATTTCGTTACCAGAAAACTTGTTGCAAATATCAAACAAACACAATGAAGTACACAACCACCCCACTAGACAATCAGATCAGTTTCATCTACCATAGACCAGAACCGTAACTGCTCAAAAGCCTTTATAATTATATACCGGACCCCAGCTATGGAACTCATTAAATGATAACATTAAATCAACTCCTACTATTTTTTCATTTAAACGTACATGTAGAATTAAACAATAGCTTCTAGATAGATACAATTATTAAAACGAAAAAATCTATAGAGAAAACAGCTTTTGGAACAATAAGAAGAAAACAAGAAAAAAGATAAACCTGTTAGTAAGATGAGACCAAAGCATCGCAAAAGTAACCATAGTGTGTAACGTCCCCGTCCTTCATGCTTTCTCTTCGTTTTCTCATTCTTTCTTTCTTTCTCTCTTCCTCCCTCTCTCTCTCTCTCTTCTCTGCTAGAAAGGTTACCATTTGTTATTATTTCCATTATCTGTAAAATTGTATGTATACACCGATGTTTAAGACAACCTTTTTGTTTTGTAGCGTGGGGGGGGGGGGGGGGGGGGGGGGGCGGGGGTGTAGGATTACCTAAGCATTTTTATATATATTTTTTCTAAATATATTACAGAGCACTTTTTTTTATTTTCAACGGGTCTATAAAATACAAGCTATGCTTTTTTTTAATAAACTCCTCCACTATGTCTCACCACTGTGCCAATTTTAAATGACTTATTTGAATAATTGTATAATTATTTGTCGCATCTTTAGTTAAAGGGACTTGGTAACAATGTTTAGATGAGAGATAATGATGATAAGGTAGTGACTTCAATGTTAGATGTACAATTAAAGATAACCTGAAAGTTTGAGTGAAAACAGACCATTATTAATGATACAAATTGGGAGAAACTGATCTGACCGATTCCTTAATCCTCTCAACTATATTATTACAATTTAATAACATTTTAGGTGAGTGAAACCGTCACAAAGCAATGAATTTGCTGTATATACCATTCCAGACATTTAAGCATCGACGGATTTTTAAAAGCCTGATTTATGTCTTATTTTCATGGGAAAACGGTTGTGTAAATTCATAATGGTTGGGACAATTTATTATTAGTGGGTGTCGCCTTCAGTGAATACCATAAATATCTTTGATGTATGCGATTGTTTGCATGTTATAGGGTTAGTACTGTAGAAGGAATATAATAAGTAACATTTCATACAAAAATTACGCAGTTTTTTTCATCAACCTTCAACAATGTTACCGAGTCACTTTAATAATATGTTATTGAATTTGTATATATTGCAAATTCATTTCATTATGTTATATTATGTGAAAGAAAAAAAAATCACTTATTGTCTGCTAAACTATTATGGCAATAGAGTAACAAGAAAACGATTTATTATCACCGTCAATCACAATATCCTTGATTTAAAAAACAAGTATTTTTATAACTCCACTCCAAACAGAAGATACAAATTATTCACAATTTTTTCCATATTTTTTTTTCCAAAAAAAAATAAAAAATTACAATGCAATAGAAGTATGAAAACACTATTTCAATAGAGTCATTTTTTCATACACAATCTACCGTGCACAAAATCACTTTTAAGTGGCTTCTCTAATATCTAATATTTGTGGTGGTACACAAGTATTAGAAATAGTTATATTTTAGCCGTCTCCGAACCGATTTTGATCAAACAAAGATGATTTTATACAGTAGGCTTGCGGGTGCACCATGTGTGTGTGAGAGAGAGAGAGAGGGAGGGGGGGGGATTGAGGAGTCCTGAAAAGGACTCTCGGTAATCTTTCTTGAGGGTGTGTAGTCCTGAAAAGGACTGATTGTGTAGTCTTGAAAAAGACTGTTGGTTATTTTTCTTAGCTTATAGTTCTAAGGAGAACTATAGCGCTTGGAGAGGATGAGTGGCCGGAGTGGCTCGACGTTTCGAACAGGTTGACTATTCGTCGTCAGGAGTGGAGAATAGCTTTGTTGTTGTTGTTGTTGGGTTTATCGGCGCTATCCATCGATTCCGATGATTTCCGCCAGGCTGTGTGTGAGGGCGCCTTGCTCTCACTTCTGCTGGTCTACGTTTCTGTGATTCTGATACTTGCCCGGTGTGTGAGATAAAGATTTACGTTGACCTTTCTTATTGGCGAAGTGCAAGGTTATGGAGGATTAATGTGCTCGTTACTCATTATTTGTTAGTCATTTAATGTTAGAGCTGGTTGGAATTAATATCATGAAGTTTCGGTGTCAATTTATAGAGTTAATGATAAATAATGTGTCTTATGTTTAATAATAGTATGCGCATACAATAATCGCCTGTCATCATTTATTCATGCTTCGTATGTCCATCATCTCCCCCGTCAGTGGCGGATCCAGGGGGGTGGGGGGCCGGGCCCCCCCCCCCCTTGAAAAAAAAACATGTAAAATCACGTGATTTTTACCTTTTTGGGGGGTTGGGCCCCCCCCTGGCGCTCAAGGGGGGGGGGGGGGGGGTGCAAATTGAAATTTTTTTGAGGATCAAAAAAAAAAAATGTGCTCACTACCCCCCCCCCCCCCCCCCCCCCCCCCCCCCCCCCACTGAGCGCATTTTTGGCCGGCGCGTTTTTCAAATTTTCGGGAGCAAAAAAAAAAAAAAAAAAAAAAAATGTGCTCTGTACCCCCCCCCCCCCCCCCCCCCCCCCCCCCCACTGAGCGACTTTTCGGCCGGCGCGATTTTCAAATTTTCGGGAGCAAAAAAAAAAAAAGTTGGGCCCCCTCCCCTAAGAAATCCTGGATCCGCGCCTGTCCTCCGTCACTCTGTTACTTTTATGCCTTAAGGCATGAAAAGCACAAGAATGATAACAACACAATGCTATAATACACTTTATAATCTTCCGGTACCTTTTATAAAGGCTAAAATGATTGAGCAGTTTTTTGCTTTTCCAAGTAGATTTTTTAGATTAGGATTCGTCACATGAAGTCTGCGATACATACGATTCCTCTGTCTTTCATATTTAGGGCATGATAACATAAAATGTTCGATAGTGTCGAAAATGTGACAATTGTCGCAAAGGCCCGTATCATGCCTATTTATTGAGTAATTGTAATAATTAAGTCTACACTTACCAAGACGGAATTGATGTAAAATTCTATCATCCTTACGACAAAAACCTATATTCAATCACGTATATTTTACATCTCGTTGTATGGTGTAGAGATATCTGCCTTTCTCGGCAGTTTCCCATTATTTCTGCCACTCAGTTTTGTAAAAGCCATCTAATTCACTCAAAAATTCTTGTCTGTTTTTATTGACAAAAATGTCGATATTGTTCTTGGAAGCCGCTTGTTTAGCTAAAGCGTCTGCCTCCTCATTGCCTGTTAGGCCACAATGTACTGGAACCCATTCGAAATTTACTTCAATTCCAAATAAATTTATTGTCATTAGTTTCCCGTATATCTCGACTATCATACTGCTTTCATGGAAATGTCTGATGGCTTCTTAAAGCCGAGTTGAAATCAGATAAAATTACTACAGCTATTGGGAGATGCTCCTCTTCCCATTCTAAAGCCATTAGGATCGCTGCTAGTTCAGCCCTCATGATATTAACTTTACACATTTTGTGCTTATGTCTTACTTTTAGTTTCGGGATATAGCAAGCTAAACCTCTACTTCCATCTTGTAATCATGAAG